CACCGAGCACATCTCCGGAAACACATATCAACCAGATAACTGCTGCAGCGTATGGGCGCCTGGCAAACCTGAAAATAGCGTTCCGATACCTTAGTAAGGAATCGTTCGAGACACTGTACACTGTGTACGTTAGGCCCATGCTGGGGTATGCAGCACCTGTTTGGAACCCACACTTGATCAAGCACGTCAAGAACTTAGAGAAAGTGCAAAGGTTTGTGACAAGGTTAGTGCCAGAGCTAAGGGGAATGTCCTACGAAGAAAGGTTAAGGGAAATAGGCCTGACGACACTAGAGGACAGGAGGGTTAGGGGAGACATGATAACAACCTACAAAATACTGAGTGGAATAGACAAGGTGGACAGAGACAAGATGTTCCAGAGAGGAGACACAGAAACAAGGGGTCACAATTGGAAGTTGAAGACCCAGATGAGTCAAAAGGATGTTAGGAAGTATTTCTTCAGTCATAGAGTAGTCAGGAAGTGGAATAGCCTAGCAAGTGAGGTAGTGGAGGCAGGAACCATACATAGCTTTAAGACGAGGTATGATAAAGCTCATGGAGCAGGGAGAGAGAGGACCTAGTAGCACTCAGTTAAGAGGCGGGGCCAGGAGCCGAGTCTCGACCCCTGAAACCACAATTAGGTGAGTATAATTAGGTGAGTACACACACACACACACACACACACACACACACACACACACACACCTAGTCAAGCACGACAAGAAATTAGAGAAAGTGCAAAGGTTTGCAACAAGACTAGTCCCAGAGCTACGGGGATTGTCCTACGAAGAAAGGTTGAGGGAAATCGGCCTGACGACACTGGAGGACAGGAGGGTCAGGGGAGACATGATAACGACATATAAAATACTGCGCGGAATAGACAAGGTGGACAAAGACGGGATGTTCCAGAGAAGGGACACAGACACAAGAGGTCACAATTGGAAGTTGAAGACTCAGATGAATCAAAGGGATGTTAGGAAGTATTTCTTCAGTCATAGAGTAGTCAGGCCGTGGAATAGCCTAGAAAGTGACGTAGTGGAGGCGGGAACCATACATAGTTTTAAGGCGAGGTATGATAGAGCTCATGGGGCAGGGAGAGAGAGGACCTAGTAGCAATCAGCGTAGAGGCGGGGGCCAGGAGCTGTGACTCGACCCCTGCAACCACAAATAGGTGAGTACAAATAGGTGAGTACACACACATACACACACACACACACACAAACACATGCACGCACGCACACACACACACACACACACACACACACACACACACACACACACACACACACACACACATACACACACACACACACACACACACACACACACACACACACACACACACACACACACACTAAATACCTCAAAGGCAGCGGGACCGGACAACATTTCACCGTGGATCGTGAGAGACTGAGCAGAGGTGCTATGTGTGCAACTAACAACAATCTTCAACACATCTATCGAAACAGGGCGACTACCTGAGGTATGGAAGACAGCAAATGTAGTCCCAAATGTATGCAAAGTCGTGGAGAAGATTATCAGAAGAGTGGTGGAGTACATAGAATGGAATGAGCTTATCCACGATAACCAGCACGGTTTCAGGGAAGGAGAAATCCTGTGTCACAAACCTAATGGAGTTTTAGGACAAGGTAAGAGAAGTAAAACAGGTGAGAGAGGGATGGGTAGACTGCATTTTCTTGGACTGTAAGAAGGCACAAGATATTAGTGCAAAGTTTGCACTAATCTTTTGTGCCTTACTGCAAAGTTAGAGGAGCAGGCAGGAATAACAGGAAAGGTACTGCAGTAGATCAGAGAGTACCTGTCAGGAAGGAAAAAAAATGAGTGATGTTGCGTGACGAGGTGTCAGAGTTTGCGCCTGTGACTATCGGGGTTCCACAAGGGTCAGTCTTTGGGCTGGTGCTGTTTCTGATATATGTGAATGACATGACGGACGGTACAGATTCAGAGTGGCCTTGTTTGTAGACGATGTGAAGCCAATTTCGGAGAATTCAAACAGACGAGCATTAGGTAGGGGCCTGTACAGGCTGTAATCTTCGTCCAGCAACTGGCTCCTGGGGTTTAATCCCACCAAGAACAGTCATGGAGATTGGGAAGGTCAAAAAAGACTGCAGACGGAACGCAGTCTAGGGGGCCAAAGGCTGCAAACCTCACTCAGGAAAAGGATTGTGGGGTGAATATCCAACCGAGCACTTCTTAGGCGCACAAAATAACTGCTGCAGCATATGGGTGCCTGGCAAACCTAAGAACAGCGTTTCGACTCCTAAATAAGGACTCATTCAAGACACTATACACCGTGTACTTCAGACCCATATTGGGATAAGCAGCACCAGCATGGAACCCACACCTCGTCAAGCACGTTAAGAATTTAGAGAAAATGCAAAGGTTTGCAACAAGACTAGTCCCGGAGAGAAGGGCTATGTCATACGATGACAGGTTAAGGGAAATCAACTTGACGAAATTGGAGGAGAGGAATGATAGAGGGGACATGTTAACGATATATGAAATACTGAGACTAATCGAAAAGTAGGATAATGACGAAATGTTTTATACAGATGTGACACAGTAACGAGGGTCACAACTGGAAACTGAAAACTCAGATGTGACACAGTAACGAGGGTCACAACTGGAAACTGAAAACTCAGATGTAACACAGTAACGAGGGTCACAACTGGAAACTGAAAACTCAGATGTGACACAGTAAACGAGGGTCACAACTGAAACTGAAAACTCAGATGTGACACAGTAACGAGGGTCACAACTAGAAACTGAAAACTCAGATGTAACACAGTAACGAGGGTCACAACTGGAAACTGAAAACTCAGATGTGACACAGTAACGAGGGTCACAACTGGAAACTGAAAACTCAGATGTGACACAGTAACGAGGGTCACAACTGGAAACTGAAAACTCAGATGTGGACACAGTAACGAGGGTCACAACTGAAACTGAAAACTCAGATGTGACACAAGTAACGAGGGTCACAACTGGAAACTGAAAACTCAGATGTGACACAGTAACGAGGGTCACAACTGGAAACTGAAAACTCAGATTTTAGGAAGTATTTCTTCAGTCTTAGAGTTGTCAGTAAGTGGAACAATCTGGAGAGTGGTGTGGTGGAGGAAGGATCCATACATAGCTTTAAGAAGAGGTGTGATAAAGCTACTGGAGCAGGGAGAGAGTGGACCTAGGAGCGATCAGCGATGATACAGGGACAGGAGCTATGAATCGATCCCTGCAATCACATATAGGTGAGTACATGCACACATGCACACACAGGCACACACACACACACACACACACACACACACACACACACACACCACACACACACACACACACACACACACACACATACAATTATATATATATATATATATATATATATATATATATATATAATATATATATATATAATATATATTATATATATATATATATATATATATATATATATATATATATATATATATATATATATATATATGAAATCAAGAAACAAGTGATTTTGTATATACATAAGCAGACTCGTCATGTGATGTAGTATATAAGTTGATGTAATCCAAGTTGATGTAGTATAAGTTGATGTAGTCCAAGTTGATGTAGTTTAAGCTGATATAGTTTAAGTTGATGTAGTCCAAATTGATGTAGTTTAAGCTGATATAGTTTAAGTTGATGTAAGTTGATATGGTCCACGTTGATGTAGCTTAAGTTGATACAAGACACTGATGTATGTAAAGCCTGGGCCGTCATGTCTCCAAGCTAAAAAGTCCGTCAAACCTCCGACAAGACCGACTGTCACTTGTCAAATATTGATGACTGTGGCAGCACGTCCCGCCGCCATCACCCCTTCAAAAACTGACGCCGAGCATTGATGCATCACCAAGACTTAATTCTTGGTTGCTATGTGTCCCGTAGCTGGGTTGGTAGCGCACTCAACTCACACATTAAAGCCCGTGGTTCGATCCTCGGTACAGGTGGAAACATTAGGGCGTGTTTACTTAAGACACCTGCTGTCACTGTTCACTTAGTAGTAAATAGGTACTTGGGTGTTAGTTGACTGCTGTGGATCGCATTCCAATAATAATAATATATTTCTACAAGTACATGTACAAGGTATACAGGTCTAGCTGACATCAATGACGTACTACTATATAGAAAGTCCCTTGTTATGCTGAGCATTCCGGGCAAATTAGGTCAGTTTTGTCCCAGGATGCGACCCACACCAGTCTACTAACACCCAGTTACCTATTTTACTGATTGGTAAACATGGACAGCAGGTGTCTTATGGAAACGCGTCCTAATGTTATCCAGACGTATAGGAGATTCGAACTCCGGGTCGAACTGCTGGTGATCGAGCTACTGGAGACAAAATTAACCTAATTTCCCCGAAATGCTCTACATAACAAGGGGCTTTCTATATAGTATGTCAGGTAGTCGTGTATACGTCGTACATCTACTTGTAGAAATAAAGATTATTATTATTATTATTATTATTATTATTATTATTATTATTATTATTATTATTATTATTTTTATTATTATTATTACTATGTCTTCTATGGAGACTCTTGCTTCTGTCAACCAAATATTGTGGACGTGAGGAACAAAGGCTGCGTATTCAGATTGTTTATGGTTGCAATGGATTATGAAAGTTATCAGTCGATCTTCGGTTTATGGTTAGGACACAAGGTACCCTGACGTGGTGCCCAAGGGTTGGCAGGGTAGCATCAGCTCCCCGCATCAAGAACCCTCACTAGCATCAAGGTGCCTACCACCCCTTCCTCTCCCAGAAACGTTCCATTATTAGGAGTCGGGAGGGAGGCTGCTGCTATCGCAACTACTGCTTTTGCTACTGTTTCTGCTGGTGCTGCTGCTATTGCGCTGCTGTTGCGCTGCTACTGCGCTGCTACTGCGCTGCTACTGCTGCTGCTGCTGCTGCTGCTGCTGCTGCTTCTGGGTGGGGACGCTAGCGGCCCCTCAGTCTGGTATTGATTCTGATAGAAGGCAAGAGCTTGGTGCTAGCGTCAGTAGCTTCGGCGTCCACTGCCCGTGGTGCTCCACACACACACACACACATACACACACACACACACACACATACACACACAGGTGAGGCCCCTTGTGCATACATGTGCTTTCTTACAACCGCCCCACCCTCCCCTCCAGTCCCCATCTCCGGTGACTATCACCACCACAGGTGTTTTCAACCCAGGCTGTCAACTGGACCAGCTCGTGTATAGACGTTTACGTTTCTCGGCTTCCACTCGTCCTTATAGCCACGGGCTTCACTTGAACTGTTCCTGCCCCACGTAAAGCCCACACTTTGGAAACCCTAAGCGACGTTTTGGCCAGTCCTAGACCATTATCAAGTGGTTTCGGTCTCGGGCCTTAATCAAAACACGAGTGAGAAATTAGGGAGTAGGGCAGAAAACAGGTGTGAAAGAGGGAAAACACAAAGAAAGGTAGTAGAGAGAACAGTTGTTGATAATACCACAAAATAGGAGAGGTAAGTATTATTATTAATTATTATTATTAGTAGTAGTAGTAATAGTAGTTGTTGTGGAAGTAGTTGTAGTAGGGGTAGTAGTATCAGTTGCATTATCAACACTACCGTGTCTGGATGTCTACAAGAGACCCCAGCAGTAGAAGGTAGGAGAGCCACTGAACACTACAAGAACACAGAAAACATACATACAACAAATAGCATAGATCTTTATTACAACGCAATTACGCTCAAGTGTCGAAATATAAGACGCTTGAGTCTCTGGAGGCTCTCACAATGATGATTCACTCCCTATCAACAATAGTAACAGCTGCGATAGTCTGGGTTAGTATAGATGACTATGGCACAATTAACGTAAAAAACTATTTCTATTACCTTTAATGACGCTAATTACATTAAAGTAACAGAGAATTGCTAGTAATGGTGGATTGTGCCTTTTATTATTATTATTATTATTATTATTATTATTATTATTATTATTATTATTATTATTATTATTATTATTGCTATATTATTATTATTATTATTATTATTATTATTATTATTATTATTATTATATTATTATTATTATTATTATTATTGCTATATTATTATTATTATTATTATTATTATATTATTATTATCATTTTATTTATTATTATTATTATTATTATTATTATTATTATTATTATTATTATTATTATTATTATTGCATATATTATTATTATTATTATTATTATTATTATTATTATTATTATTATTATTATTATTATTATTATTATTATTGCATTCGTGGAGAAATAAGAGATAATCAAGTTAGATCCGAGGAAGAGAAGCTCTAATTCCTTGGAACTAGAGCGCTTCACTACCGACACACTGATAGGTTATCACTGTCGAGACCCAGGTGATAAGATAATAAGGTGACTGATGCTAGTGTACCTACGCCCAGTATAGCGTGGTGCTAGTAGCACCTAGGTCTTGTGAGGTGCTGGAAGCACCTTGGTATTGTGAGGTGCTGGTAGTACCTAGGTCTTGTAAAGTGCTATTAGCACCTAGACTTTGTATTGTGAGGTGCTGGTAGCACCTAGATCTTGTGAGGTGCTAGTAGCACCTAGGTCTTGTGGGGTGCTGGTAGCACCTAGGTCTTGTGTTGTGAGGAGCTGGTAGCACCTAGGTCTTGTGTTGTGAGGTACTAGTAGCACCTAGGTCTTGTGTTGTGAGGTGTTGGTAGCACATACGAGAGCTTTGGAGTCACAATCGAAAAAGGTCAGGTTCGATTCCCGAGGCGGGTACAGATGTATGGGACAAGTTTCCTAGCCCCTACTTCCCTCGTTCACCCAGCAGTAAATAGGTGCCCTTGTTCACCTAGCAGTAAATAGGTATTTTTGTTCACATAACAGTAAATAGGTGCCCTTGTTCACATAGTAAACAGGTACCCTTGTTCACCCAGCAGCAAATAGGTATTTTTTTCACCTAACAGTAAATAGATGCTATTGTTCACATAGCAGTAAACAGGTACCCTTGTTCACCTAGTAGTAAATAGGTGTTTTTGTTCGCCTAGCAGTAAATAGGTATTTTTGTTCACCTAACAGTAAATAGGTGCCCTTTTCACATATCAGTAAACAGGTACCATTGTTCACCCAGCAGTAAATGAGTGCTTTGTTCATCTAGCAATAAATAGGTGCCCTTGTTCACCTAGCAGTAAATAGGTGCCATTATTCACCCAGCAGGAAACAGATGCCCTTGTTCAAATGGGTACTCTAGTCATCTAGCAGAAAATAGGTGCTTTGTTCACCTAGCAGCAAATAGTTTTTTCCCTAGCAGTAAATAGGTATTTGCTAACCTAGCAGTAAACAGGTGCTTCTCTCACCTAGTAGTAAATAGGTACACCTGTTCACATAGAAGTAAATATATGTGCTTTTATCTAGCAGTAAACAGGTGCCCTTGTTCACCAAGCAGTAAATAGGGGCCATTGTTCACTTATTAGTAAATAGGTGCCCTTGTTTACTTATTAATAAATAGGTGCTTTGTTCACCTAGCAGTAAATAGGCTCCCTTTTTCACCTAGCAGTAAATAGGTGCATCTGTTCATTTAACAGTAAATAGATGCACTTGTTCTCTTAGCAGTAAATAGGTGCCCTTATTCTCTTAGTAGTAAATAGGTGCCCTTGTTCGCCTAGCAGTAAATATGTGTTTGTGTTCATCTAGTAGCAAATAGGTACATTGTTAATCTAGCAGTAAATGGATGCACCTGTTCACCTAGCAGGAAATAGGTTCCCCTGTTCACCTAGCAGTAACTAGGTGCCCCTGTTTACCTAAAAGGAAATAGGTACCCCTGTTCTAGCAGTAAATAGGTGCCCCTATTCACCCAGCAGTAAATAGCTGACCCTGTTCACCCAGCAGTAAATAGGTGCGCCTGTTCACCTAGCAATAAATAGGTGCATCTGTTTCCTTGCAGTAAATAGGTGCTTCTATTCCCTTTGCTGTAAATAGGTGCCCCTGTTCACCTAACAGTAACTAATTCTTTATTGGGGAAAATATGCCTGGATTCTGCTGACGGACTCTTGATGCGAGGAATTGGAGTTACACTCTCCTTTCCTGGATCAAAATTGGCTGACCTCATTTACCCAGGCGCTGTATAACCCTTACTTGTTTAGCGCTTCCCATAACCACAGTAATAACAATAATAATAATTAAAGTAATTTACTGTCATTATTATTATTATTAGTATTATTAGTATTATTACTAATATTTTATTATTATTAGCGTTATCATTGTAATTATTGCTTTTATTGTTACTGTTATTATAATTATCATTATTATTATTATTATTAATTATTATTATTATTATTATTATTATTATTATTATTATTATTATTATTATTATTATCATTATTATTATTATTATTTTCATTGTTATTATTTATTTTATTTTCGTCAATTAGTAGTGTTTTTATTATTATTATTATTATTATTATTATTATTATTTATTATTATTATTTTAAAGAAGGCTGGGCTCTGAGGAGGGGCAATAGGTGCCTCCTTCAGGTTCAGGTGTATTGATAGGTGCCTGTTCTTCCTGCAGGTGATGCTGACAGTTAGGTTCCATGGTCGGAGGCTGGTTGCCTGCCTCCTGCTCCTCTTGGCTGGGATGGGAGTCTATCACCTGTTTACTCTCAACTCTCTCGTGGATATTCCAGACCGAGTCCTCCTGAGGTGAGTAGGTGGTGTGGTGAGTCGGTGAACTGGTTAGTAAATGCCCAGGTGAGTAGGTGTGGTGAGATGGTGCTTTGATGAATACGTGATTAGTTGAGTACTTGCCTAGGTAAGTAGGTGCACAGGTAGGTATGTACATGCTCAGATAAGTACTTGCTCAGATGAATAGTTGTCAAGTTAGGTAGGTCCGCAGATAAATATATGCTCAAATAAGTAGGTGCTCAGGTGAGTAGGTTCTCTTCGGGTAAACCTTTGCTAATAACTCCAGGTGCTAAATAAGTGTCTTTTCACCTGAGTCTGGGGTGCCCAGGTAACCGCTGGTGCTCCTTGTGTGTGTGTTGGTGCTCTTTAAGTGAGCGTAGGGAACTGCCTGGATACCTATTTTCCGACTCTCTCCTCACCTAACTCCTATCTCCCATATGTACACAAAACCGCTGGTCACGGGTGCTGGAATTGCGCCGTGAACACAGTTCCTTTAGGGAATTTTAGGCGATGAGGCTCTTCAAGGCTCTTTAAAGCTCTTCAAGGCTCTTCAAAGGATTTGTTTTGGGTTCTCGAGGCGTTCGTGAGAGAATGCGGGCGTATCCGCATTCCAGAGGTATTGCATTTTTATGCCGGATTCTAGCTTGGAAAACGAGAGAGCGATCGATTGCGGGCCAAAGAGAAGTAGTTATGCTCTACGGCACGCTACCAAAAGCTCTACGGCTGTCTACAGAAGCTCTACAGCAAGCTAAGGAAGTATGTTCTACGCTCTCCCCCCCCATCCCACAGAAGCTCTGAATCGCCATAGTTGTAGTTGGCCGTAGAGCTCCACTGTAGCTCTACGGCCAACTACAAAAGCTCTAGAGAAGTACTGGAGAAAGTCTAGGGTACGCTACAGAAGCTCTAAAGAGGCTGCACAGTACTCTACGGAAACTGTGCGGAGACTCTAAAGCATACTACAGCTCTAAAGAGACTCTATAACATGCTACAGCTCTAGAGAGGCTCTACAGTATGTACAGAAGCTCTAAAGAAGCTCAACAGTACGCTATGGAAAATCTACAGATTCTACAGTATGCTACAGAAGTTCTACAGTACGATACAGAGGCTCTACAGTATGCTACAGAGACTCTACAGTATGCTACAGAAGCTCTACAGTGCGCTACAGAAGCTCTACAGTGCGCTATGGAAAATCTACTGACTACAGTATGCTACAGAAGCTGTATCTAGTACTCTACAAAAGTTCTACGGCCCGCCGTTTACCCTCTACAGTATGCTACACAAGTCCCCCGTCCACTTCCATTGATGTGCATCACTCGATGATACATCAATACATTGTCATCAATATGCCACCTTTCACACTGGGCTGGACGGCTCGCGAGTTTAACACCTTTATAACCTCAATAAGAAGCATTGCTGACGTGCTGATGGATAAGACACATGTGAAATGTTACAAAATGCGACATCTATTATGTATAGACCTCTCCAGAGAATACTAGAAGGTAAAGTTATTGATCCCCCTCTAGCACCTAGCCAGTTTCTGGCTTTGTAACAGTTTGTCAGGGTATCCTAGTCGAGTTATCCTGTAAAATTAGGTGACTTCTCAATAGCGTTTTTCGATTACTAATGGGTGAATACAGGTCAACTAAATAAAATAATGAAATCTTTAATAAGAAAGGTTTCTAGGTGGCAATCTTTACAGGTGATTAGCGCCTATACAAATCTTGGAGTACAACGCATTATATTTATACGTCATACTTATTCTGTAGCAGATATGGTGCTATGGGCACTTGTGGATAATATACTGTACTCTATAATGCTTTTAATATATACATTCAGGTACGTTGCTACGAGGTACACTCATTAGTACAAGAATAAAGTATGTGTGTGTACTTGGTAATACTAGGTATGACTCAGTAAGACTCCACTTAGAATGTGACTGACAAAACAAGTCCCCAAATAAGGTAATTTCTTGACTATTAGGGCAATCAAACAGCTTGCTTGAACAATATGACAACCCATTCGCCAAACAACAGTAATGCTGGAAGCAGCATGAATAGCACAGCATCAAGCAAGGAACAAGGAGGCAGAAACGATCCTAACTGGAAGACCAGAAAATCTCCTCTGTATAGGCTAAATTCTCTTATTACTGAAACTGATTTCAGCAATTCCAGTTTTCCGACTACGACAGTGTGTAGATGCCAAAACAAAGTAAGCCAAGAGTTGAACTCGGGACCAGAGATATAGAGAGCATCTCCCGACACAACCTCTGAAAACGTTAATCACTAAATCTAAATAATACCCTATGAACAGTTAGTTACATGATGTATGTCTCGGCTCACCATCGCAGACATACTCTATCAAAAACACTCTAAATAACATGAGCTGAGGAAAACAGCGTTCTCTCAGACAGAACTGAGAGAGGTGCTCCCTCTACCAGCAGCAGCGAAAGACAGAGAAAAGTAGGGCCCGCACGAACTGTGAAACAAGCAGTCAGGTAGTTAGCAGCGTTGGCAGCTAATCAGAACTCTCCAACAACAAGCACAATGAGAGATGCAGTTGTTACATCCCACCTACAAACATAAGCTAATAATATGTCAAATAATAATATAAAATATAAAATCTTTATTTTAGTTATTCATGAAAACATCAGCAATATAAAATTATATGAAAAATCAATATAAACAAAATATTTATTGCATCCTTTTCTGAGGACGCAGCATGTAATACCTAGGTGTCTTCGTGAAGACACATGTGTGACACGTAGGTGTCTTCATGAAGATGCAGGGGCGATACATATGTGTCTTATTCACCGATGGATAGTGCCGACAAGTTGATGGATAAGACACATGTGCAACACCTAGGTGTCTTCGTGAAGGCATATGCGCAACGCCTAGGTGCCTTCGTGAAGACACATGTGCAGTGCCTAGGTGCCTTCATGAAGACACATGTGCAGTGCCTAGGTGCCTTCGTGAAGACACATGTGCAGTGCCTAGGTGCCTTCATGAAGACACTATGCATGCCTAGGTGCCTTCATGAGAACATGTGGTGCCTAGGTGCCTTCATGAAGATACACACGCATCTTATTAACCGATAAAAAAAATTTCCTTTGTCGTTAGCCAGTTTCTAAATGTACTAACCTCCGAGAAAATTAACTGTATTTTTACATTTCTATTCAGTGTAAATAATACTTACCTTTGATTTACAGTTGCATGTGTGGATGTTTTTAAGTGTTGCATGCTTCATGTTATTTATTTATAATTATTTACGGATTTTACAGTATCTATTTTTGTAGTAGTTATATTTGAGTCGAAGTACCGGACAATGACCCCTGCATGTATGTCTACAGAGCTTTCGTACGCCGTAATGTGTACCACGGAGACAACGCTATTGCCAGGTACTTGTAATATATATTGAAACCTTACTAACCTTTTCTTTGGGTGGTTATAATTGATTTTCTGTCATGGTGTGTATTAGCGTGCCTTGTGTGTGTATGTATGTGTGTTATCTTCCTGAATATCCCACAATGAAGCGAAGTTAAATTTGGAATGATGGAATTTTTGTTAGTTTTCACCTGCAGATGCAGTTCAGTGAGTTGGACTTCAAATGGTGTTGGTTTGTTATTGGGGGTATAAAGGCTATTGACTACACTATTGTCGTTACAGCTGCTCATAGCCTCTTCCCCACCCTACAAGAGCACTTTAATACCTAAATTAGAGATTAAACTCTCATTGTATACACACTAATAGAAATACACCTCTCGTGTATATAATTTTTGTTACTATCATACCATGATTTGCAGTTAAGTGTGAAATACTGAGATTTCCATCAGTCCTTCCCTTTAAAAGGCGGTTCAGCTACTGAACGTCATTGACAGTCATGATAATTTATGCAAAACATAAGAAAATTCTAAATTATCTACTAAAATTCGGATATTTTGGTTACAAAAAAATTCAATTTAGAGTGCAAGTGTCTAATATTTTGGAATTCCTGCTAATTTCACTTTCCTGATTCATTTGAAATTGCTTCATTGACAGTATTGTGATTTTTTTTTTTTAATTGTAAATCTTTCGCGTTTTTTCTCCAGCCCAGCCCACCTAGCGTGTCAACACCCCATTCTGGACGTGAAGAACCCGGAGATCTACCGATTCTTCCACAACGTGGACCCGATCCGCTGCAGCGAGGAGCCGGAATGGGTGTCGGTATCGGGTTCAGTAGCGACAATTACCGGGCGAACTCGGAAGGAACATGGCGACGTGGAGTGTTCCTTCACAGGCGAGTCTGCTTACATATATACAAAATCACTTATTTAGTAAGTAAGTTTATTCAGGTATACACAAATACAGTTACATAGAATTATCATACATAGCAGCATATGTGTAGAGAACCTGGGATAACCCAAAAAAGTCAGACAGAGTGACTTATTTCCACTGGGGTTCGTGATTTCATTAATATATATATATATATATATATAATATATATATATATAATATATATATATATATATATATATATATATATATATATATATATATATATATATATAAAGTTTTGTTAGCCAATTTAATGCCTTTCGGATCTTTTACAAGGGTATGTAACCTGGATAATGTAACATGTTAGAGCCGGTTCAGGCTCTAAATAATCCTTTTTTTTCACATGGGCAATACTTAGGTATCTTTACTGAGGAGACATTTCACCACACAGTGGCTTCATCAGTCCAATACAAAGAAGAATGGTGAAGATCAGAAGAAGTTTGAGGTAATCAGTCCCCCAATCTTTTCAAGATTGATGGACTGATTACATCGACTCCAGACAGAGGGATTGATTACCTCAAACTCCTTCTGATCTTCACTATTCTCCTTTGTATGGACTGATGAAGCCACTGTGTGGCGAAACGTTTCCTCAGTAAAGATACCCAAGTGTTGCACTTCTGTCTAATTTATCAACTTGTCGTTTTTTTCCTCCTGCTCAGAGCTGGTGAGGGACGGAGACGACGCCGTGCGTCGTGGCCTCACCACCACCACCCACGACACCTTTGTCTTCACCAACAGCGACTTCTACGTCGTCTCCTGCACGGCCAAGAACGGCAAGACGTAAGTCGTTCTGGCGGTGAAGGGCTCTTCTTTCGAGGAAGTGGAGCTCCTCTTTTCTGTCTCCCCCTTCCCTCTACACACACACTCTGGCTGAAGAGTTCTTGGCCTGCCAGGCTCCCAGGCGCTGTGTGGCCCCAACGGGTTTAGCGCTTTTCTATGAATAATAATAATAATAATGACAATAATAATAATAATAATTATTATAATGTTACTACTATTACTAATAATAATAATAATGTCGATACTACCACTATGAATAATAATAATAATAATGACAATAATAATAATAATAATTATTATAATATTACTACTATTACTAATAATAATAATAATGTCGATACTACCACTAAGAATAATAATAATAATAATAATAACAATAATAATAATAATAATAATAATAATAATAGCGAATAAAACATTTTTTTTAGTTTGTCTTTATTAGTAATGAAAAGATCTGGGCACGTTTTTATGGCAACGTTTCGCTCAGTGTAGAGCTTCAAGAGCTTCATCACATCTCTCCACAAGGCGTAACGTTGTCACAGTCTTGATCTGCACCTCTTCCGTTTCTTCAGTACCGACGGCGATTCGCCTTCGTACTCACGTTTCGCCCAGCGCAGAAACTTATCAAGAGCTTCATCAAGTGCTACACAGAGTGAAACGTTGCCATAAAGAAAGCTCGTTCTGCAGCCTGTGTGTTTTCTCTGGCACCTCCTTTACGGTGCCAGAGAAAGCATTCAGAATGCTTTCTTTCCCAGAGAAAGCATTCAGAATGCTTTCTTTCCCAGAGAAAGCATTTTTCCCGTTCAGTTAGGTAAGGTTCGTCAGGAAACAGGACAAGTGTTTCCTGACGCGGGTCTTAGATGATGACCCGCCGTTGGAGTTTTTGGTTATCTGACCGAGGCCTTACGCTGGCTTACCGGTCCATCCCTTAAAAAATTAAGGTTTTTAAGTATATTTTTCCATTTAGTGTTTGAGGAATATATAGACAATATAATAACCTGTTTAACATGTCAAGATATCTTATTAATGAAAATAAGATAGCAGATATATTAAGCAAATTTCGTAAATTTGCTTGTAACAGATAAGTGAACTGTAGATATAAATCCAGATGTTCTCCTGTTAACCCTATTGGGGCATTTTTCCTAGGCCTTTTATGTATCCATATGCTCTTGCACATATGGATACATATGGATACATATGAGCATATGGAAACATATCCTCATATGGATACATATGAGCATCCCATATCCCTCCACTGGAAGGATATGGGATGCACAATCAACTAGACATTACGACGGTAAAATCTAAATTTATATGCTTTAAAAATCATTAATTTCGAGTGATAACGTCCTTAAAACTAATATATATTAATGATTATTTGTGCGTTTTTTGAAGATGGGAGAATACGATAGCTGGAATCCGGAGGGACGAGGATCTACGATCGCAGACATCATGGGTTAAGGTGCCCGTAGATGCTTTAAAACTTAATTTCCTGATGCTTGGCTTCGATTCCCTCTCCCGTAACACGTTTATACGCACTCTGCCCAAGACTTACGCCTTCCTGACGGATACGTTAGGGGGTCACGTGATGGAGGGGTATAATATAGTCGGGGATGGGACACCGCAACAGCTGATTCCTATACTGACAGGTGGGTGGTGTGGGTGAGACCTTGTTTTGCATCATATATAAGCATTTATATTGCTACATAAAAATAATCTGGACACCTCTCGGTATATACATATATACATATACATATATATACATACGGTGGTGTGGATGATTCTGAGGTAATTTCTACTCCCTGTTTGGTGTACTAGCCCAACGAGTAGCATTTTATATTATTGTACCCACGAACGAGTGGTATTGATCAATAACAACACTGCGATTAGCCAGTGGTCCCGTGGACTAGAGCGCCATGTGTTTTGGCTTACCATGAGGTGGGCCAAAGCAGCATGGGTTCGACTCCTTGGCTAGTCGTAGTGTTGTTATTGATCAATACCACTCGTTCGTGGGAACAAGAATATAAAATACTGCTCGTTGGGCTAGTACACCAAACAGGGAGTAGAATGAAATTACCTCAGAATCATCCACACCACCGTATGTCCTCATGATGACGGGTAAAACACTTAGCTTGGCTGGGTGTGTCTTTCTTGAGGATATATATATATATTATATATATATATATATATATTATATATATATATATATATATATATATATGCTGTTTACTACGCCAGGTAAAACTGAGCTGGAGTTACCTGAGACGCGGAGAAGGATGGGAGAGAGAGCTCAGTATGTCAACAGTTACCCATTCATCTGGAACGACTTCAAGAAGAACGGCTATATCACCAGTGAGTCCTTAGAACAGAGGGTTCTTAACCCGGAGTACACATACCCATTAGGGGTATGGGAGCCAAATAATGGGGGTATGGAACTCGATCTCTGAAGAGTTTAAAAAACGTTGTTGCTAGATTAGAATAAACTATCAGATGTTCTATTGCTAGTTATCCATACTGGTATCTAATAGGACTGGTGATGATACCACAGTCTGTTGAAGAGATATGGCGACATATGGGCAATCCAATGGGGTTCTGTAATCTTAAAAAGGTTAAGAACCCCTGCAGGTTAGAGCGTCCAGTGCTTGGCTCAGCACTGACTTCACAACACCTTCCACAAACCAGGAAAGGAATACTTGACAAACGCATTTCAGTGGCCCTTTCAATAATTATGATGCGGAAGATTCTTAATCAGTGTCGTGGAAGACAGTAAGGAAATGCACACAGTGTATGTAGCGTTGTAGATTTTCCAGTTATGTCCTTGTGGAATCGATGAAGAGCCTTCAGTTTTATTGAGAAGTTTCTGTGTGTTGAGATTAACGTTGTATTTTAGAGTTTGTACATGTATAATGTAAAGGCCTCTAATAGTAACGTATTTCAGAGGGTATGGTAAGCTTTAGGGGTATGGTAAGCTTCAAGGGTATGGTAAGCTTCAGGGGTATGGTAAGCTTCAAGGGTATGGTAAGCTTCAAGGGTATGGTAAGCTTCAAGGGTATGGTAAGCTTCAAGGGTATGGTAAGCTTCAAGGGTATGGTAAGCTTCAAGGGTATGGTAAGCTTCAAGGGTATGGTAAGCTTCAAGGGTATGGTAAGCTCAAGGGTATGGATTTAAGGGTATGGTAAAGTTTTAAGGGTTGGTAAAACCCTTTAAGGTTGGGAAAGCTTCAGGGTATGGGAGAAAGGGTT